ACGAAGGGACTTTGCGTCTACTAATATAAAAGTATTCTAGCAGTTCTGTCGTGCATCTATGTATCGCGGTTAAATACGCACCCCTTTTGTTTTTCTTAGTATTCACTTTCATTTTTCAGGTTCCGAGCCAAAATGGCAAAAACGGAACCCACAATTTCGTCATGTCCATCCATCCGTCCGTCCGTCCGTCTGTCCGTCCATCCGTATGTCACAGGCATTTTATTCAAAAACTCCAAGATGTATTTTGATAAAATTCGGAGAATGGGTGTCTTGTATAAGCCGCTTTTTGGTTTTGAAGTTAAATTACAATAATAACTATTTCTAGAGGAGGCAGTTCATCATGTAACAGAACCTGAAAAAAATTTTTTCCGCAAACATCAACGTGTAGCACATATTTCGACGGATCTTTTAAAACAAATTTAAGGTTTCTAAGCAATTTTTAGACTGATTGAATATTTTGTGAAACAATCGCTCCAAAAGTAGCAAAATTGCGTCCTCCCCCTTTATTTCCTAATTCGTACGTCTAAAAAATATGAAAAAAATTACAGAGATAACGCTTAATAAATACTTTTAACAGAAATCATTTCGAACACGATCGGTACCGTTTTTGAATTATTGTCGTAAAACTGCGCTTCTTAAAAAAAAAGGACGTAAGTGCTATGAATATACATTCTTTTGTTGATGCACTTCAGTTGACATTAGTTTATTAGTAATAGTCGACATACCTACTTGTTTTTCTACTTATAGATAACTAAAGTGCTTATAACTGTTCTGTGCGGGAAACAAGAAAAAAGATGTAACAACGTAGTTTTTTAATTTGTAGGACATTTCTTTGTAGTAATGGCTTCGGAATCCTACAGTGAGCATGGTGCGACATGCTCTTAGCCAGTTTTCTTTTTATCTGCGAACTCCAATATCAGTATATCGTAACAATGAATACGGGTTATTATTAGGGTATTATATAAATTGATACTTTTTCTTGAACTGTTATCAGGAATAATTAAGACTAAAGAAACAGCAACCTAAACCCATTTCCCGTATCATTATTGTGCTATCAGACATATTGACAACTAAATTAAAATTCTCATCTCTTTTCAGAGCAATTAAAGATCTTAATAAAACAAGTGCTCTTTTTTTTAAATAAAAAAAAACTTAGAGACGCTTTACTTGCAATAAGACACAAAACTTCTCTACACTAGCATAAAATAGTATTCGTTCGTCCTTTAATTTTTTTGCAAATAAATAAAAAAAGACTGTAGTTAAATGTAATTTCAGAAATTCGAAAAAATTAAACATTTTCTGTTAACGAATTCTACAATTCAGGTATTTACCTATCTGAACGTAATGTAAAGTCGAAAAAGGATCAATACATTCGTCTATTTGACTAGATGAGACGATTTAACTAACAGACTATTAATGCTAGACTTTAACATAGCCTAGATAATAAATAGCGAGCTTGAGCTTATACCACTCTAATAGCTGTCTTGATAACAGTGGGGTTTTATAATACCGTACAATGTTGGTTGGTATGCGAGATTAGCCTGCATGAAACGGCATTTTCATGCGTCTAAAAAGCAACTACTTTATTTTCTGTTATCGGTACAGTAAAAACAGCAGTAATTGTAATGACCCGTTACTCACTGGCATAGATTTAGGAAAGTAGCTATTAAATTTTATGCTTTCATCGCGTGCGCAGGCGAAGTAAACGCTTACGAATCTATTATTATTTACATTATTTACAAATTATTGGGACAAATAAAAAAACTGGCTAAGTGTGGGTGGCGAGATCATAAATTTAGGGTTCTCTTGCGATCGACAATAAAACAATTTACATATTTTCTGTATTACGATAAAAAGTTAGTTGTCGACTTATTTATACATCTGACGCTGTTTTACATAAAAACTTGATAAACATATTCGTTTTTCTGGCAACGATGTGCACAACCTTTAAGGTGGGATTTTTCTAGAAACTTCATGATTGCTTTTATTAATTAATTATATAATATAATACTAATCTATTACACGATGTAAACAAAGTCGTTAGTAACTACCTAATTCAGATAAAATAGCATTGAAGATACGGTCTCAATGACGTCAACCGGGATTGTAATCGAAATATTTGATATCGGAAATATTGACTTTTACATGACCTATTGGAATAGTTCTAATTTAATTAAGGACGAGAAATACTTATATTGGACTTACATTTTCTAAAATAATTGAACGCTTATTGTTTCAAAAATAAAAAAAATGATATATGTATTTCTATTTTGGAAAGATTATTTTAATTTATAATTTAAGAGTTCTATAAATTTCATGTTATCTGTACAATTATATAATAAAATCATCACGAAGTCAATACTGTATTATAATATTTTTCTAAAACAATTATCGTTACGATTTATGTAAACCATACTGAAGTCAAAATAAAAAAAAAAGCGTGTGTATGCTTACGTACGCACGTAAAAAGTTGTATTTTCCGTGATTAAACATTATTTACAGTGTAAAAGATCAATCTTTAGAAATTATAATAGTGTAAACTCGCGCCTATTTCCCAGAAGGGTAGGCAGAGACTGCCACGTGGTACGATCTTTGCACATGTCTCTTGCTTCACTGACATCCATTGATCTTTTCGTGCAAGTTCGCCAGTTTCAGGTGCTTCAGAAATTCACGTATATAAATACATATTTGTAACTACTCAATATATGTAATGCTTACAACACGTGCTAATTACTTAATTGCATTCAAGGACTAACTGAATTAAACACTACACGCATATGAATTGATTGCGCCACTTTGAATAGTTTCGTATCGCATTAATTGCATGGCGTGTAGTATCGGCCCATGCAACTTCAGTCATATGCTGAAAATACATTGTAATCTGTTTTTCCTAACCTTTTACAAGAAGTAGGAAGTTCTTATTCACGATGTGCGAGCAAATAGAGAAATTAAATATTAATTTGGTAGAGTGACGTGGTAAATTCGTATTTACTCAGAACAGGCGCTCTGTACGTCGGAAATAAATCATAAGTAATAATCATTGCTCACAGATGGCGCTATTCTTAGTAGTATGTACAACGAAACAGAGCTGTTTAAATTTTCGCCGTAAAATGTGGGTTATTATCATATCACCAAATGTTCACAAAATATGGTACTGCATATATACAGAAGAATCTCATTGTTAAATGTAGTTTTACATTGGCGCGCGTAATTTTATTATAAAATGGAAATACACTCCCATCTGTTCATCTTTATGTGCGTAAAGAAGTATAACTTCAACAAGTTTTAGAATATTTGTCCATTTAACTATTTAAATGTATGAATATGGCAAATCCACACACCACTCAAGTAATTTACCGGATTTTTTTTTTGTGTTTCTTAAAACGTAATCCTGAATTTCGACTGAAATATATTTTATTATACTTTGTTACTTAGGATTTAGACAAAGAATGATTTTCATCAATTTAGTGGAGCTATCGGTCAAAGGAGTGAAAAGTAAATATGTATTTGTGTCCAGAATACGGGTGTGTATTACTTTTTATTGCAGGAAACGATATAGAAAAGTATAATTGTTTAAAATAAAATCAAAAAAAATCAAACCTATCGTATCGTGTTTATTTTATCAAAAACAAATGAAATGAACACATTATGAAAAAAATTAACGTGTGTACAGCTCACACGCGTCGGAAGTGTAACATTCAGAAAATTAAACTGCGAGAGAATGAAATGAATGCGGTAACAGGAGTGGAATGATTGATTATAGGATATATTTATTATAATATTGGTACCAATTTTAAAAGTTATTTTTGCATTTTATTATTCAGACTCAATTTTTCCATTTCAACAAACGATAATACACGGGCGTACTCAAGCACACACATTTTCCGCATTGTATCTCATGTCATATTCTATCTCATTCTCTCGCAGGCTAAATCCTATACATATACATGTTTGTCTCTTTTTACTGTCGTTTTTTTCGTTTCATCCAGTTTCGAATCGCAACGGTGCTAATGAAGTTTTCACTTCATTAGAAACGGGAAGTTCATTCTACGCGCGCGGAGCCACGGGTTATAGCTAGTTTAATATATATCTCATTTGCATCCTGCGACACAATCCTTCAGTCCAAATGAAAGTAAATTCATCAAAACGTTAGAATTTCCACATACACAAGAGTACACATATATTTGGCGAAGTTTATATCGTGTTTGCTTTCCATCAGCGCTTGAATACGAAATACCGCGAAACGAATCTGTGGTATTTCGCGCGTACCCGCGCGTGCTGGGCGCGCGCCGCCTGTTTTTTTCCGTGCCGTTTTACTACACGAGTTGCTTATTCCTTTTTTTCGCACTTGTTTTTCTTTTGACGGCGAATCGCCGTAACGCGGTTATTTTTAAGAGCGAAAGTCGCTTCGTTAAATTCGCGCTTTAACGAATCTGCAAGGTCAAATATCGGCAATATAGTGTGTTAAAAATGAAATAAAGTTGTATTGGTAAAAGCGAATAAGTATACGTCACTATTATACAGTGACGTTTATTTGATGCTAATTACAAAATTCTTATACTGAAAATCATCTAAAATATTAGATAAGTAATTAATTTCTTGTAAATATGAGTTATAATTTACATCCACCTAATACAAAAATAACAAATATGATAAGAAAAATATTTATACCTCCTTTTAAGTTTAATGGCTTGAAATATAGTTATAAATAAAGATATAGTTTTGGTAAAGGTTTAGTTATTATTTTTTTTATATATTGCTTTATAACGTTGTAGTATTACTCCCAAATATGAGGTAGCCCAGATATGGCACATTTGGTACACGTCCACGGTTAACGGTAATTTAAATGTATTATAGATACATAGGATAGAATAGGATAAAGATAGGATACAAAGGTTTGTATCCTATTTTTATAGGTATTAGTTACAGAGATAGGTATCTCTGTGCATAGATTTCACACAACACAAGCGTACATTTTAACTTACGTTCTAATTATGGGTTTCCTCAGAAGGAATCGAACCTACAATCTATGAATTCAGAATATACCATTCTACCACTGAAACACGGTTTGCTTCATTAATTGCATCAAATACGCGATAAGGCGTAGATACGCGGCCCGTTTTAGACACAAATAAATAAAATAACGTAACACGAGCGGAGTACAACGCCTACGTGAAATGTGTAGGTTTCGACGACTTGTAGACGAGAGAAAATGAACAAGATGCCTTTTCCATGTCGCGCCGCACGCGCCGGAGGCCGCGACTCGGCCCGAGTTTGCCGTGCTCTCGTGCGCGACGCCTGGCGATGTTTGCGCCGAATTTGTGTATGCGCGGGTTCATTGTGTTGATCGGTGCCGATGTTGCTACAATGATCATTGCAATATTCATTTCTTCTAGTAGCTTCTCTTTCAGTGTAAATTCTCATAGGGATTACCCTATGAGAATTACTCTGTGTTTTGGGGCACGTTAAGCCGTCAGTCCCGGTTGTCACCACATCGACGAAAACAGTAGTTAGGATTTACGGTAGAGACTTTCGATTTGATATAAAAAGACTGGGAGAATATGCTTCAGTTACGGGCTGATTAAAATCTGTTACAAAAACTATGATATGCATGGACATTATTTTTTATTCCTCAATTTATTCATCAAATCATCATTAATCTGTTGTTGTATAATACTAATAATAGTTTATCAACATTTTAGTATCATCGAATTATGTTTCTTTTATAAACATTTGATACGACGTATCTCTATGACAACATAAAATACTAGATGTAAATATTCCGCAATAATTTCCTAGGCTGTATAAGCTATGAGTCAAAAGTTAGCCATGTAACTAAGAGTAGTCTCATTTGGTTTAGGCGGGTAATATGATAGAGGATATATATTGATAGAGATTAGTTTCTCGCTCAAAGCGATGACCTTTAGAATTTTGCACAACGACTTCCACAATTCATTCGCCGTCACATCCGCATACCCTTCAGGGCTGCCAACCTGCTCTCCTAAATTAGCGCTGTCGGCGTTGTTAGAGAGATATAATAGTCACTTGGAAGGCAAAAAAACCCATTGTGGTCGGCATGGAGATCTATGTTTAGAGACGAGATGGTCTAGGTGGACGCACGTAGTCAGGTAACGGGTGACGGTAGATGAAAAAGCTCTTCAAACAGATAACACCTATAGCAAGGGGTTCGCTGCGCTTGCGCCAGATCTAGGTATTTATAGAGAATGTATTTAATGAGACGTCAAAGAATTACTTTGCTATAGTTTCTTCTCCCCGAGGAGCCTAAAGGACATCGTGTCATCTTCGTGTCTTCTACGACAAGAGCTAATCTATTTAGTGTAAACAACACTTTAGGAACTCCGTTGTTCCGAAGGCGATTTCGATAATGTAAGGGAAAAGTACAATTTATAAACTCAAAGAAACTTAACATCGTTTGAAAATAGTTCGTTACTACGTAATCGTAATATTGCTGTCGATTTTTGGGATATCAATAATTTCAAATTTTAATGTCAACATAGTAAGGAACTTTTTTTTTTGCTTTTATTGCACTAAAATTAAATGCCCCAGAAAAAGACAATGATAAATACTCAAAGACACATAAAAACCCAGGTGACAATAAGTCGGTAATTTTTCTATATTATTTTCTATATTATATATATAATTTTTCTATCGTGTTAATGAATGCGATCTTATAAGGAACTTGTAAAACAATCTATGATATCGCATTAAGATTTTTTAAGGCCCATTAAGACGAAAAAGACTGGAAAAAGTCTCAATATTACGGCGTTAGCTAGCATTTCACCTGGAGTTAATTAAATAGATCAACTGTCTAACGGTTATGCGTACGCATATGTTAACGTGGTAACTACGGAATATACGTGTTCAGGCTAATGAACAACCTAATATATTCTGTACTACAACATCTCAATGATTAAGGCTACTAGAACGTGGAGCACTAATACATTCGCAGGCTGTGTTATAATACCACAGGTTAACTGATAACTTATTCACTTTCACGATTGTCTGCCTAGCCTGCGTCGTGTTGACGCATACGCGACTGCAGCGTGATTGTTAAATTGAAGTTCGATTTTTCCATTATGTAATAAGTTTAAATATGTATAAGGAAAATATGGGAAAAAGCACGTTATACATTGTACAATAAGTAAGTCGTTACGACTATTCAAAATACTCTGATTTATTTCATATTAAAATAAATAATTTGTTCCATCTTATTCTCTTAAAACTTACAAATGTTACCCGTTTCAGTGCCAAAACTGAGAAAAGTTGGAAAAGTCATTGCACGATATTAAAATGGAGGAGAAAGCACCTACCTGCTCGTCTATTGAAGCTGTTTAGCTGGATGATTGTATAATTGATTCTTAAACACTTGATTTAAGATTATTCATACTCACGTAGCAATTAATAAAAACATTAATCCGTCATGTAATTAATAAGGAAAAATTATTTTCAATAACTGTCTTTGTTTTTTCAATTTCACAAGATTTTATATACAATAACTCCCAAATATTTTTTTCCTGAAACTATCTTATTCAAGTTTTCAACATTATCGGTCAATATTTTTTTAGCAACTGAAGTTAGGTTCGGGCAGGATAAGGGCAGAATTAAAGTCGTGTCCAATTTTAAGCTTAAAGAAATAACACATATAGTTATTGGAGTGGCAAATATTGTCTCGCAAGGGCGAGACGGCGCGGGAGAAATTATGTATTCATCACTCCCTTTTTTGTTGAGGATATAATATTTATTTGAGCGGACTGTATTTGCGGCCAGGTACACTGGTGAATTCAACATACGATTTAGATTAGCTATATCGGAACAGTTCTGGAGCACAATGCAGGAGATCGTCTTGAGGAATAAAATTGCACGTACCTGTGGAACGCAGAGTAGAACAACGCCTCGGCTTCTTCCAAAAGTCCTCACCAGCGACTAGGGTATCCCCAGTCGCTGGTTTAGTTGCGGGTACATTTATTTTGCACGGAGCAAACGCGTGTGTGTCCGGCGCGGTCGACCGCTATCGAGCAAGTCCAGCGTTATCCAAGTTACGTGCAGAGGGTAGTATGGGAAGAAATGGGCACCGGAAATCTAAATTGTATGCAAAAAAACAAACACAGCGACTTGGCGCATACAGTTATGAAAGCGAATAATAATTTGACGCATATCAGTATTTCTAACGATATTGATCTATTTTTCAACTGAACCATATTTATGTATTAACCATACTTACTAATTCCTCTTGTCGCCTTACCTGCTTGAGTTTTTTTTTAATATTTCTGTAGTACACAAATTAATTATTAGTTTTACGATCACTTCGGAAGAATATAACTTCTGACGTATACGTAAGCGCAGACATCTCAACTTACGTAATTTAAACATAAACCTTGTATTGTCGACGTGTACAAAAGGTGTTCTATGTTCTGCCACAGAAATTTACATATGCACATAATTTGCAATATTAGCGCCATAAGTGCGCCCACTGGGACCTAATATAGCGCAATAAATAACAACTAACAAGCACCCTGTATATTGCGCGAGAAACGCCATGGGAATGGTGAATTAGGACAAACTATGAGCTATGGAGCCTCCGTTGCGTCCAATTTAAGTTTAATTTATGTGTAGGACGTCTGGATTTAGTACATTGTTTAGGCTTATAATTCTACAATGGCATAATTGTCGTTTAATTTCATTGCCTATTCAATCGCTTTGCGTGACTGTTTCTAGAAAAAAGTCGGGTTCTTACTTATGATTTGATTGCTTCCTTTTAAATTTTATTGTAAGTAGTAAAATTATTATTAATGGTATTGCTTTGTAAAAGCAGACTTGAGGAACGGAAATTTTTAGAATTCAGTGTAGGAAATCTCATAATAATGATATAAAATTCTAATTTGATTGCTTTAATTTAAAGTTATTTTTGGAGATATTAATGTTTAATCTCTGTACGTCTGGTCATTCAAGTTTTTAAATTTTATTAAATGGTCACTTTTATAAAAAATAACTCATATTGGTTTGATTTATTTCGAAGTTTTCTAATTACAATGTAGGTGAAACTTATGAAAGATAAAATATTTTTTTAGATTTTATATTCTGTGACTAAAAGAAAATACTAGTTAAAAACTTTCCTAGCTGGTCAACTGAAAACTGATAAAGTGACATTTTAACAAAGAAAGCTTTTTAACTTAATTTTTACTTGGGGAAGATCATTGAAAATATAAATATATATATTTTTATGTCGTATAATATTAAATTTAGATTTGAGACAGTGGTGGGGACATAAAATATGGCGGTTTTTAGACGTATGACTTTGTTGCTATTGGTTGTATGACGGTGGTATTCCGTTAATTGTAAGCTTTGCGGTACAAGCACTGGAATTTGTATGAGGTTTTGTTAATTTTCTGTACAAAATTCAGTATTAATGCTGAATTTTCAGTATTTATTATGTACTTGGTACTTATAAATATCAAGTAAATATGAAGTATTTACTTGACATTAATAAAAGAAAAAAAAAATGGTTATTTCTTTGTCATCAAAAGTTAATTCAACAGAGTTTCAGAATGATAGTTAATTTATTAGCTATTTAAAAAATTATATTTATTACTTTGTCACAATTTATAAATTATTCGAATTTTAATTTTTTATTGGTATTTTTAGTAATGAAAAATAACTTGATAACCGTTTTATTAAAATTTGATGAAATCAGACATTTCGTTCGGTTTCTTTCATTGGATTTTATATACTTTTCACGCTCTCGAGCAACATTGTCCTGTTTTTTTCTAAACACGTTTAAAGTCACAGGTTATTTTCGATTTATTATACAAACTTATAGATATTGACTATTTCCATATTACAACTATTTTTTTATTCGTTTTACTGGACATTTTGAGGAATGTCTTAATGACTACCGGATCGAAATCTGACGGATGCAAAGGGCTTAGGGTAGGTTCATCCCAAACCAATTCGTGATTGCGTGGGTCCGGACTCTTAACTCGCGGCCCTGGGCATGCGCAGATCTTTTTTGTTCGTTACTTCTTATATCTGTCCAAGCGCCGTCGTTCC